AGATAGCGCAGCTGCAGCGCCTGAAACCCTAAACCCTAAACCCTAAACCCTAAACCCTTGACAGTAAACCCTAAGCACTAAACCCTAGGGTTGATACTCTGAAGGTTTGTGGATTCGGCGCTGGTGCTATGACGCTGCTCAGCGACGATTAAGGGTTTAGGGTTTAGGGTTTAGGGTTTAGGGTTTAGGGTTTAGGGTTTAGGGTTTAGGGTTTGCGTAGCAGGAGGGTGCCTTCGTGTGCACGGAGCCGGGGCTGACGAAGCGAAGCAGCAGCAGCAGCAGCAGCAAGGAACAAAACAAGAAAAAGAATATAATTATATTTAATATAAGAAGTAATTAAAATACTTTTTTGCTTTTTTTCTGCGTGGTGCAGCACAGAAGAGCAGCAGCAGCCAGAGGGGCCCCCAAGGACCCTCCTCAGGCTTCTTATATATAAGGAGAAGCATGGTGATGCATCCTATGTATTTTTTTTTTATTTTTATGTTTAATATTTGAATTGTTTATTCTTTTTTAATTCTTTATTTAATTCTCTTTTTATTTTTTCTTTTATTTCATACAATACAGCTCACCAGCCGCTCTCTGCTGCGAGCAGGACACAGCCAGCCGCAGTGCATCGGCTTCTATTACACCCTTTTAATAAACCATTTTCTTCTTTTTTTTTTCTTTTTTTATTTTCATTTACATTTATTTTCGCTGCCGTAGTACCCATGGAGGCAGCGGAGGCGCAGAGAGGGGCCTCTCGGGGGGGCCCCCTGCATGGGGGCCCCCCCGCTGCAGAAGAGGAAACAGACAGACAAGGAGAGAAAAACGAAAGCAGGAGCTGCAGCGAGGTGTACACTGCAGCAGCAGCAGCAGCTTCGAAGCAAAACCTTGCTGCACTGGCTGCTGCTGATGCTGTTCCTGTTGCTGCTCCCCTGGCGCCTAGTGCTGCTGCTCCTGCCGCTGCTGCTGCTGATGCTGCTGCTGCTGCTGCTTCTTCATCTCCTCGCCCTGAAGACCCGCTTGATGCTAGTGCAGCAGCGGAGCTGCCTGCTGCTGCTGCTGCTGCTGCTGCAGAGCTGCCTGCTGCTGCTGCTGCTGCAGAGCTACCTGCTGCTGCTGCAGCGGAGCTGCCTGCTGCAGCAGCAGCGGAGCTGCCTACTGCTGCTGCAGGGGAGTTGCCCGTTGCTGCTGCAGCAGCAGCAGCAGAAGGCTTCTCTGCTGGCGCTTCAGTTGAGCTGCAGGGGCCCCCTGCCTATGAACTGGGGGGGGAGGCTGATGAGTCAGGGGCCCCTTGGGGGCCCCCCCCTGAGGGTAACCAAGCTAGGGGAAAGCGCTATAGGGGCCCTTGCTTCGGTGCAGCAGCAGCAGCAGCAGCAGCAGCAGCAGCAGAAGCAGCAGCAGCAGCAGAAGCAGATGGATCAGGGTCAGCAGCAGCGTTTAACAGCCGCAGGAAGCGGTTTAAAGGGCGAGGGGGCTGCAGCAGCAGCAGCAACAACAGCAGCAGCAGCAGCAGCAACAGCAGCAGCTACAGCAGCAGCAACAATAACAATGCATTGATGCATCCTCGTTCTCGTTTCTTTGGGGGCCCCCTAAACTTTGTTAAGCTTGCTGAGGGGGCCCCTGAGTTGTATCCTTTTATTTTAGTTGAAGGCAAAAAAAACAACAAAAAAATAAAATATAATTTCAGTACAAAAGAGTCCCAGCTAGCTCTCTGTATAGCTTTATTCAGGTGTATGTACAGCTTACATTTCTCTCTGCCTCTTCATCATAATCTCTTGATACCCACTCTACCCAACAGAAGTAATTATATTCATTTCCTTGCTGACCTTCTCTCACCGCAAGAGGGCCTCGCCCCCCCCCGGGGGCCCCCCATACCCGGGGGGGCCCCCTACCTACTAACATCAGCAACCCCACCAGAACACCAAGCGGGGGCCCCTGGGGGCCCCCCGCAACAGGGAGACCCTGCAGAGGGAGGGGGGGGCCCTCTCCAGGGGGCCCCTGAGGAGCACGGGGGGCCCCCGCCTCAGGGGGCCCCCGTGGAGGGAGAAATGGGGGCCCCTGCGGAGCACGGGGGGCCCCCGGTTCAGGGGGCCCCTGTGGAGGGAGACGGGGGGCCCCCCAGGGGCCCCCATGTACGGGTACTGGATATAGGGGTTGGTGGGAATTGTGTGTACCCTCTGCTGGGTGTTTCTGACTATGGTTGGTGTTTTGTAGGTTCAGATATTTCTGAGTTGTCGCTTTCTGTAGCTGCTGAGAATATACGTGTAAACAAGTATGAGGTGTACATACAGCTGAGATTACAGCCGAAGAAAGAAAATATATTTATGGGGATTGTGAAAGAAGAAGATAAACTTTTTTCTGCTTCTGTATGTAATCCTCCTTTTTATAATAGTGAGGAGACAGTATGTATAAACCCAAGAAGAGAGAAAGCAGGAAGAGCGCATGAGTTAGTTTGTGAGGGGGGAGAAGAAGCATTCCTCAGGTGTATGTACACCGAAAGTAAACTCTTTGCTTGGCGTTTTCTTTGGTTTACTACGCTTGTTGCTAGAGCAACAACAAGAAATCAAATTAAAAATATTATACATCAGGGGATGAGACAAGTAGGACGGCAGCAGACACAAACTATGGATAGATACATGCAGCACTGGATATCTATATACGAAAACAGCAGCAAAAACAGCAGCAGCAGCAGCAGCAGCACCGAGTGCAGCAGCAGCAGCAACGACAGCGGGAACGATGATAGCAGCAACAAATACAGTAGCAACGCGACAAACAGCAGCAGCACGAACAGCACCTGCAGCAGCTACAACGGCGCCAGCAGCAGCAGCACCAACAGCAGCTGCAGCAGCAACTGCAGCAGCAACTGCAGCAGCACGGATGCACAGGATGAAGGGGAGATGCATCCTAGGGAGTTGAGGATATTTGAATTGTTTCAGGGAAAGCAAACGAGGTGGGTCGTCTGCTGGACTTACTGGACAGCCGAACAGCGCAGAGTTTTGCGCGAGTTAATAACAAGAAAACAAACAGCGTAGTTTTTTTTTTCTTTTTTTTTTTTTTTTTTTTTTTNGACTACTGGAGCAGCACGCAGCGTTGATGTAGGGTTTCTCAGGGTTTAGGGTTTAGGGTTTAGGGTTTAGAGTTCAGAATGATGCCCGAGGGCACGGATATGCAGCTAAGTATTGAACATACATATATACTGAAAGCAAACGAGTGAAAACATGCAAAAAGGGATAAACAAACCGTCGTCAGGCTCCACCCAATAAATGGAGTTTCTCTGCTTTCCTTTGGCATATGCTTCGCTCTCTGAGGAGGCGTTTTCAAGTTATCTACAGAAATTAAATATATATTAAACAAATATCATTCACTATGTAACGATGTATGCAGCACCGCAGATAGAGGGAGGAACCGAGAGATCTCGGGTGTACATGCAGCTTCGCCGGTTTGGTTGGGCGCATTTTTTTCTCGTTTTGGGTAGAAAACGATCAGCAATTGAAATATACGGAAATTGTATTATATTTTGTTTAATAGAATATAAATAGAATATATTTCTATTTATCGAGGAGATCGCGCAGAAAGGCGCATTTATTTGGGGGCTTTCTTCCCTCGTTTCCTTGTGGCGTTCAACATGCATTGCGTTGCTGTTTTGTGTAAATATTTGTGTTTTTTTCTCGTTTTTGGTTCTATATGCTTCACAAATGGCGAAGTTTTACCGAAACAAATGCCGGAAATTCCATCGGATCTGATTTATGATGCGGAAACACGAAAATTCAAGTTGATGCCGAACGCTGAGGAGATGATGGAGCGGCTTACCGATGGCTCTGAACGCCAGAAAATTGTTTTCTTGCAACTTTATGAATCAGCAATGAAGGAATTTGACGTAAAAGGATATAAATGGCTCATGGATACAGGCGAGGCACCTTGAATAAGCTTACATTCATACGAAAAGAAAACACGAAAAGAAGAAACCCTTATATATTACATACACAGTTATGGAGAAAACAACTTCTCTCCGCTTCGTGCAAACTCTCGCCCGCATCGACAACGAAAACCCACATGTAAGACTCCATAAATATAAAAACTATAAGCTGAAACACCAGCATATGTATGAGTTTATACTCGTAAACAAAACTCCGTCAGTGCAACCCAGGAGAGAAAGCAGGAGGAACCCCAGCAGAAGCATCAAAAA